AGGTTGGCAGTGGAGTCATGCAGGGATTTGTACTCAAGCATATATTGTTCAGCATGACTTAAACCTGGAAAAAGGGGCACTTTGTGAGATGGGAGTTTGCTGAGGTTATTAAGCACTCAAGACAGTAAAAATGATGGACAACTGGGAAAGTTGCAGAAGAGTCTCACAATATACAGCAACTGGGCAATAAAAAGGCAGATGAAATTCAATGTAGGTAATTCTAAAATTAATTACATAAAAAAATAAATCTAATTTTACATACAGCTCTGAACTGACTTTTACTGCTTGGGAATTGGACCTTGGGGCTATATAAAGATCTATGAAAAGGATAGCTCAGTAGTCAACCACAGTCAGAGCAGCAAGTTACATTACTAGGAAAGGAACAGGGAATAAAATGGTAAACATCTTCAAGACATTCTGTAAATCCACACTGCATCTACAGCTCCCAAACTGTGTGTGGCTATGGAACCCCTAGCTCAAAAAGCACATAGCAGAATGGAAATAAAAATACAGAAGGGTAACAAGGATGAACAAAGGCACGGAATGGTTTTCCTGTGAAGAAGAATTGACTAGATTAGAACTTCTCAGTTTGAAAGGAGAAAACAGATCAGAGGGAAGTTTTATAGAAATCTGTAAAACCATTGAGTGGTCAGGAAAGGTGAACAAGAAATGGTTATTGACTGTCTCTCCATAGAGCAAACTTAGGGGCTATCAAATGTTAGCAGGTGGCAGGTTTTGGAGACAACCCTTCCTGTACAACATGTAGTAGTTCCACGTGTAGATACAGGATGCTGCAGATGATAAATGGTCTCAGAAAGAAACTGAACAAATTCAGGAGAGGGAAACCATTTACAAAAGTGCATTCTATGGCACCTCAGACCTTCCTGAGCCACACCATCATTCATATAGCCTTTTGATATCACAGAATCACAGAATCGTCTAGGTTGGAAAAGACCTTGAAGATCATCCAGTCCAACCATTGACCTATAACTGACTGTTCCCAACTACACCAGATCTCTCAGTGCTAAGTCGACCGACTCTTAAACCCCTCCAGGGATGGGGACTCCACCACCTCCCTGGGCAGCCCATTCCAACGCCTAACAACCCCTTCTGGAAAGAAATGCTTCCTAATATCTAGTCTAAACCCTTCCCTGGTGCAACTTGAGGCCATTCCCTCTTGTCCTATCGCTTGTTACTTGGTTAAAGAGACTCATCCCCAGCTCTCTGCACCCTCCTTTCAGGGAGCTGTAGAGGGCGATGAGGTCTCCCCTCAGCCTCCTCTTCTCCAGACTAAACACCCCCAGTTCCCTCAGCCACTCCCCGTACGACCTGTGCTCCAGACCCTGCACCAGCTCCGTTGCCCTTCTCTGGACACGCTCGAGTCATTCAATGTCCTTTTTGTAGTGAGGGGCCCAAAACTGAACACAGGAATCGAGGGGCGGCCTCACCAGTGCCGAGTACAGGGGTCAGATCCCTTCCCTGTCCCTGCTGGCCACGCTATTGCTGACACAAGCCAGGATGCCATTGGCCTTCTTGGCCACCTGGGCACACTACCGGCTCCTGTTCAGCCGGCTGTCAATCAACACCCCAGGTCCCTCTCTGACTGGCAGCTCTCCAGCCACTCCTCCCCAAGCCTGTAGCGCTGCTGGGGGTTGTTGTGGCCCAAGGGCAGCTCCCGGCATTTGGCCTTATGGAAACTCCTCCAGTTGGCCTCAGCCCATGGCTCCAGCCTGTCCAGGTCTCTCTGCAGAGCCTCCCTACCCTCGAGCAGATCAACACTCCCACCCAACTTGGGGTCATCTGCAAACTGACTGAGGGTGCACTCAATCCCCTCGTCTAGATCATCAGTAAAGATGTTAAACAGGAGTGGCCCCAACACCGAGCCCTGGGGGACACCACTCGTGACTGGCCGCCAACTGGATTTAACTCCATTCACCACAACTCTTTGGGCCCGGCCAGACAGACAGTTTTTTACCCAGCAAAGCGTGTGCCCATCCAAGCCACAAGCAGTCAGTTTTGCCAGGAGAATGCTGTGGGAAACGGTGTCAGAGTCAAGGTAAGCAGCATCCACAGCCTTTCCCTCTTCCAATAAGCAGGTCGCCCTGTTGTAGAAGGAGATCAGGTTTGTCAAGCAGGACCTGCCTTTCATCAACCCATGCTGACTGGGCCTGAGCATCTGGTTGTCCCGCATGTGTTGTATGGTGGTACTCGGGGTGAGGTGCTCCATCAGCTTCCCAGGCACTGAAGTCAAGCTGACTGGCCTGTAAAATTTCATACTCCAAGAAGGGCAAAAAGTACAACCTGGGGAACAATCTGGCTGATCAGTCTAAGATCAGGCCCCTGGAAGATTATCAAGAAAGTTTCCTCAAAGCCATTTCCAGGCATAAGGTGAACAAGAAGGTGATTATGAACAGCCAGCATATAGTTACCAACGGTAAATCATGACTGAGTCACCTGACTGTCACGTTTGATGAGATGACTTCCTTGGTGGATGGAGAAAGACCAGTGGATGTCATTTTGATTGACGTCAGCCGGGCTTTCAGCAATGTTCCCCAGTATCCTTGCAGCCAAATCAAGGAAACATGGAAGCTCTGGGTGGAATACAATGTGGGTGAATAACTGACCGGACTGTCAGGCTCAAAGGGTAATGGACAACAGTTTAAAGTCTAACTGGCAGCCAGCTTCAAGTGGAATTCTAAGGTCAACACTGGAGCCTGTATTATTCAGTGCTTTTGTCTGTCTTGCATAAGGGGATTAAATGCACCCCCAGCAAGTTTGTGGGTGACCCCCAACTGGAGCGAGTGACTGATACACCAAAAAGCAGGCTTGCCATTCACAGATACCTTCACAAGCTGGAGGAAGGTGCCACTGAGAACCTCACAAAGTTCAACAAAGAAAAATGCAAATCCTGCACCTCATATGGATTAATCTTGTATGACAGCACAGCTTGGGTACCTACTGGCTAGGGAGCAGCTCTGTAAAAAACGGATCTTGGGGTCCTAGTGAAGAGCAAGTTGAACGCGAGTAAGCAGTGCATCCTTGCAATGATAAGGCCAGCAGCATACTGTGTGGTATAAACAAGGGAGTTGCCATCAGGTTGATGGAAATAATTCTTCCTGCCTACTCAGCACTCTTCAAACCACATCCAGAGTGCTGTGTACAATTTTGGGCTCTCCAGTACAAGAGAGATATAGACAAAGTGGAGAGAGTTCAGAGGGGCTGGAGCCATTGAGATTATCAGGGAGCTAGAGCATATGATGTGCAAGGAGAAGTTGTGGGAGTAATAGCAGTCTTCCACCACCTAAAGGGAGAGTACAGAGAAGACAGAGCCGAGTTTCTCAGAGGTACACAGCAAAACAAGAGGGAAAGGACACAAGTCTGAACATAGGAGATTCTGACTGCGGATTAGGAAGTAATTTTTTACCATGACAGTGGTTAAGCACTGGCACAGGCTGGCCAGAGACACTGTGAAATTGCCACCTTCGGATATTTTCAAACCTGACCAGTCAAGATCCTGAACAACCTGATTTAATTTCAAAGCTTTGAGGTTTGAGCAGCTTTGTGCCTGCTTTCAGCACTCACTTTGGACTAGACAAACTCCAGAGGCATCTTCCAACTCCTGATGTTTCTGAGAGTCTATAACTGCCATATAAATATATATAAAATCCACTTTGCTAAACCATAAAACCATAAAAACTAAACAAAGCCAAACCTACATAGCTTTGCTTATACAATATAATGTTGACATGCAGACATATCCCATGAGGGGAATAAAAAACCATGTAATAGATAACACCACACACTGATGAAAACAATAGGGAAGCACTATTATGAAGACCAGTGTACATGAAACAAACCAAGATGGGATTTAAGCATGCAGGATTACCAATATGTGTCACAGCTCCTATTTTGTCATTCAGCTTTACTGGAGCAAATGATTTACAACACCACAGTGAAAATCAAAAGATCCGGTCTGCAGAGGCAAAGCTGAGTCCAACATAAAAATATTTTTGCTATGTTTACTTTGTAATTATCCCACTGACACGGACTGCCAAGAGCTGGAGAGCTGGTGTCACTGCATTTATTTTGGAGCCTAGTTAAAACAGACAGTGAGTCTGCAATACTTCATAAATGAACACGCAGAAGGTTAAGGACAACTGACTCTTCATCTCTATTTTATTTCACAGAAGCAATGCATTTCAGGGGTTGAGAGGGGGAGAAAGTTTAGGGAAAACCTGCAGTTCTCAGAGGACATTGTTCATAATTTAACCAAAACAATACAATACATAAGTAAATGCCATGAAACTTGTGCATATTCAACTTTGAAGAGATTAGTCCCTTCTTAAAAAATGGGACAAGAATTAATGAAGCCTACCTTCAGTGAAACACTCTTCAAAATCTGGCTTGCTTTATTATAAAGTTTTCTGTACACTATCATCTCTGTTTTTCCTGACAGTAGGACACTGAGTTATTCCAAAATTTGGTTATAAGCACCATGAATGTAAACAATTAAAACCTTCATTTCTAGTTAAGTATCAGTAAACAGAACAGAAATACTTGCAGACAGAACCAGTGGAGACAGCATAAATTCAGAGTCCGTGGAAGATCATTTGGCTTTCTTCCCATTAGGATTAAAGTGGTAAAATCTGGAGCTGAGATGTTTGTGGAGATGCTGGTTAATGCCACACATGAGCTTCATGTTTGACACTTGAGCTATTCTGTGCTTGTCTATAGACTTCCAGTACCAGTGTTTCCTGTTGCATCAGGAGACGACTCCCAGATGTGCTGAACTCCTTCCTGCAGAGGCACACCCTAGGCAGAAAGAAATCTCAAAGCCTCCACTTTGTTAAAAACCGCAGTCAGCTTTTGTCAGGAGCTTGGCTGTTGGCGTGATTCCAGGATAAGACAGACACATCAGCTCAAACCAGTTTTTAATTTCATGCTCAGATTAAATGTTATCTATATTATTAAAATATTGTGAACAGTTTGGGTTTTTTTTTCCCCTGTTCCAAATAATGAATACTAAAATTTTTAACAGATTTGAACCAAATGCATCCTGTTGCTTGTTATATCTGGAAGTGGCTAGTGTTGATAAAATGACTGTCCCATAAATATACAATGCTATTTCATAATTTATTTTTTTACTATCACGAATATGACAGAAAATAATGAACCATAAGTTTAAACCTGACTGTCCTAGGCATTGCTGCTCATATGGTGAATTGCAAGCTGATGGATAAAACTGCTGGTCTGACCTCACAGTGTTTTAAACATATTTTGATGTGGTACAAACAATAACATAGAGCACAACTGTGGAGAAAACGGGTCTGTTGTGTTCAGAGGGGGTTTGATCTAAAGGCCACAAAAGTCTGAGGAAAGACTGCGCGGACTCTGAAGGAGTATAGAGCAGGTAAACACATGCACACCATGACAAATCCTTCATTTGTCTGGTCCCAGACATTTCTTAAGAGAACAGTTTACCCAAAACTGCAGTAAGCCTAAACAGTTTTGAGGACAGGAGGAGGCTGATAATCTCCCGTGCTCTTAGATCTTGAATAGATTTTCCTATTCATACATTGCGTCTAGCACAAAAGACAAGGTCTACCTCTGGTACATGCTATGATAGCATCTCACAAAGAGGAAACTTGGACTTCAGCCTGTTGCCTCTTTCCCTTTGTGGAGAAAATGACAGCAAAAGGAAAACACCTCAAGGAGCAGCATCCTGACTCTTGACTATCCCTCTGGCCTCTTCTGTATTGGGGGTGCAGGTTTAATGGAATTCCCCTTCCTCTCCTGTAAACCTGTACTCAATTTCCCCCAGGCTTTCTTCCAGAATTGTTTATACAAACTGTGCATTCACTTAAATGGGTCGAGGGAGCTGTTCCTTTTTTTTTTTTTTTTTTTCCAAAGCAGCAATTCTTCTGAGTAAAACTACCTGGTGATACAGCAAACATTTGTTTCCACAATGAGTTTTTATTCCATCCACTGCAACGCCATTATGGTAGGTCTTCAGCATCTCTATCTGTATATGGGTTACATACCGCATTATACATGCATCTTTTAACATGTCATTTTCTCACTAGCTAGACCAGAGCTGCAATCAATACCACCTCTCTGCCAAAAATGCAACTTCTCAGAACATGCATGATGAAATCTGTATATACAACTTAAATCCTGGTGAAGGTACTTAGCTGTCTTATTAACAGCTTTTTACCTTTTTTTTAAATACCGAATGAATTGGATCAAAACAGATTATCAAGAATGTGCATTTTAAAAACATCACTTAAAAAGCCAGTAAAATTTCACTTGTTCTCCCTTTGGAGAGAGGTATTTGAGAAGAAAGTGTTTTACTTAGAAGTAAGCTTGCACAGGAAATGTGAAGAATAAGTTTCTGCATTTTATTATTTTTAGCAGAAAAATAACCCCTTAAAAATAGGGAGCTGCCATATATTTGGGACTAGTGGAGTAGCAATAAATAAAAATGCTGAGTTGTCTTCTTTGTTTTGTATTCCATAAAAGTAAGCTCTGCATTGCCTGAGTTAGAAGCAGCAAACGTTGTTTCCTTGGGTTACCACTGTCCACACAAGCAGTTCAGACAACAATCCACATGACTCCCAATTGTAAAGGATGGACTTTTTGAGGGGATGGGTTGAAAATGTTCCTTAAGGTTTTCCTTTTGGCACTTTCTGCATCCTGGACTGTCAAAGCGAGAGACACAGCAGAGCTTCCTCTTCCCTGGAGATGGAGTGAAATGTCTCCCTGCCTCAGCAATGTCAACTGTCAAGAGGTCAGAAGGAACCGTTTATGTCCTCACAGGAAACGTCTTGCCCGACTCAACTGAAGATGTGCTACTGTGACCTGCTGTGCTTAGATCTGCTTTTGGAACTTGTGAAAGGGAAAGAAGACCCCTTTGTCCTCCCATCTTTCCTGATTTAAGGGAATTTCTCGGGGAAGTTAAAGAAGTTTGGTGTCACAAATTACTTTTCATTTTCTGCCAAAGAAAACTGGATTATTGTTTGTCTCTTCTGGTATTTCCATCACCACCAGTCCAAGGGTCAGTCACAGAAACCATCCACCTTGCACAGCCAAACCTCTGTGCTAATCATCTCCTCCGATATAAAGGTACAGGGCACAAGCTCAGACTGCTTTACTGTACAGAGTTTGGTGACAACCATCTCTGAGGAATCCAAGTACTTTCTTCAAATATTTAGTATGCTCTGCTGCACCACCTCTCCTCAGCAGGAATCTTCTGCAAGCTCAAGGTGGGCACACTGCTGTCATTCGCAAGAAGAACATGTTTGCCCTGGAAGGTGTAAGATAGAGAAACCTCAGATGTAAAATTCTTCTTCGTTAGCTGGTGAAGCTGGGCAAACACTGCCATGACCATCCAGAGAACAAGGAGCTGTTCTCAAGGACTTTTTGGGCTGCTTGGAGACAGATGCTGACGTAAATGAGATGGAAGGCCATTCAGAAAGAGAAGGCAGTGAACCATCAACTGACTCAAAGTTATTGCACATGGCTGATACAGGCCTTCCACTGGTGGCCACCTGTTCAGCCTTATTGACAGTTTGTTTCTGTGGGGGAAGAGAGACTTCCAAGTCATTGCAAAATCCATTAAGGGCAGAGTATGCAGAGACCACAGACAGGTCTGAGAAGGACAGCTTCATCCCTGTGTCTACATCAGTCTCCTGAGCACCCTCCAAGTCATCAATGTTAAGCCTGGGGCTGCATCTCCATGTTTTTAATCTGGTTGCAGGTGACCCAGTATTTAAAAACTTAAATGGTTCATTGAAATGAAAAGTCTCTGAGGATGAGGAGGATTTCATTGTGGGCAAGCAGAACAGAGACTTGCTTCGTTGAAATGACCATGAAATGCTGGAGGCACTGCTGGATCTGCGTGTGAAGTCTCCTTGATCACTGTGTCTCAAGTCCTGCTGGGAGAAGCCAAGAAAATGACCGAGGCCGTTTGCGTGATGTACCTTGTTTTGACCCATTTCTTTTGGTTGTTCAGGGACAGATTGGTGGCTCTGAGGAAGAAAGTCTGGCAGAGTGGTGAAGGAGGAATCTGTTGGTGCAGATGGATATGGTTGCTTGTTCTGCTTTGCAGACTTCCTACACCAACTGCGTGTTTGCTGCAGCCAGGAAAAGGAGAAAAGAAGATCATATTAATACAGAATTGGCAGTCTTACAACCATAAGTCTCCATTGCTGAGTTGTTACTGCAAATAATTATGAAGCAGACTTCATTCAGTATGCTTGCCGCAAATGTTTCACTTCAATAACAAAGAGAAAGCACCCTGCCAAAATCCTAAATATTTACATAAGAAGCCTTGAAGACAACAAGAATAAATGGTAGAGGAGCCCTGCCTTGTGGGCTGTATTACACTAGCTCAAAATTCTCACTTCCTATTGACTTGTTCAGATTCATTCATATTCTGTCTTCAGAACATTACTGCCTTAGCAGACAGCTGAAGAACAAAAATGAAGAAGAAATGGGAAAAGTATGTTACAGTCATTATTATTTCTCATTTCTTGCTTACTGTGGTGTAATGTTCTTACTTTTTCCTCCGAAACGTCAAAAAGCCTTTAGCAAGCAACCTCATACTCTGTCATCTCAATAGGAATTTACTACTTCTTTCAACTCTGACATTTGCTCTTTCACATCTGGTTAGCTGAGCAGTGTGCTCTAGAGCCCACTTGCTCTATAACTAGCTCCTAATGACTTTAAACACAGCTTTAAACATGTAATTTGCTTGTAGACACCTAGACTGGAGACCTATCCTGATGGTTATGATCTGAATTGGCACCTGAATCTCATCCCTAGGGCAGGATTCAGCTGTGTACCTGCCAGATACTTGAGCATTTGCACAGGGATAGCAGCTGTGACAAATGGGGAGACAACGTCCTTCTCAAGAAGCAGCTGCAGGCCAGGTGGCCTTCCTGTGGGATTAGACACTGATGTGGGGGCAACTGAACTGAGGCCCTAGTGTCCAAGCAAGCATAAGGTTTTCCATCATCCCACTTATCTCGGTAAGGCTTTTACAAGTTGGCATTTTAAAAAGTTTAATTTAAAATCTTACTGGAATTTCTCACATAATACAAAATTCTAGATTTCTGTCCCAGAAGGGATGGGAACTAAAGGAACAAAGTACAAGATCATACCCTTGAGAACAAACAGTACTCTCAGCTATGGGAATTGTCAGCTGGAAACAACAGAGGAGAATGAACCAGGTACCTTGGTCACTATGTGCTCTTAAAGTGACAAGGCTATGACAAACACGATTCTGGGCAGCCACAAATGAGCTACAAAAGTATTAATGTGCTGTGGACAGCACTGCTGAGGCCTCATCCATAATGCTGTGCATGACTCAAATCATGGCTATGTGAAAAAGAAAAAACTCACTGGAAAAGATGTAGCCAAAAGAAAAAAAAAAACAATAAAAAAAAGATGAACTATCCATTAAAAACCCCGAATCACAAACTAATACAAGGTTTCTAATCACAACAGAAGTAGAAGAGTATTCTGAGGTAAGTAATGGATAAAGATGGAGCTTGATCACTTTATCAAAGAGATTATATGACATGACAGAAAGGGAGAGACGTGGCAACCAAGGAGGTCCTTTGAATCTCCTGTCTCTAGAAGAACTCCATACATTGCTGCTTCTGATGTCTTGCTAGTGCACACCACATTGTCTTAATGACCTACACCTGTCATAACCTTCTTCTGTTTTTTATTGCAGTGATTTTATAGGCAAAAAAGGATTTTCACATCTGTAAAAACTGTTTTGTTCATGCATGACTGCCTATCTAGAGGTGATTTATGGGACAGCCAAACCACGGGCATTCACTTAGACATTGTAAATGAATATATATATATATACCAGTGTATCTGTAATGAGGTATGTTAATTCATAACCTATTTCTGTATAATATAATAAGATGTTTTCCTTAATGCCATAAAGAATTAAATTAGCTAATGGGGAAATTAACCACAGTAGCGTAGCAGTTTCATTAACTGATAAGAAACGGAGTACAAAAGAGTCAAATAAAATGAGTCAAATTGTCAACAAAACATTAACCAGACATCACTTTAGATCTCTATATGCAACATTATTTTATGTGTGCAATATGTGAATTAATTTGTTTAAAAAATTACTCAGCAAGATAAAAGGCTTGTATCCATGAAGAAAATACCAGCTGCTTCATAACTGAAGACATTTCTGGATAACCCAGCAATAATAAATGACATGTTAAAATTACACAACCAAATCACTGCCCTCTTTTGATGGGTTTGTCCAAGAAAACAATCCTCATTATATTTTGTTTGTATTAGTCAAAGCTACTAATTTTTTTCTATTCGGCAGATCTGATATCAGATACACTACATGGACTCCACCATGCTTGGTGAGAATCAACAGAAGCACCTCCAGAACACTTCTCTTACCTCTCAGAGGTTGATTCACCAAGCATGATGGTTGAGTCCATGAAGTGTATCTGATATCTGGGATTTCAGCGCCTGGGAATGTTCCTGGGCACATTTAATTTATTAATACAGTAAAGTCTTAAGCATTTGGGGAATAAAACACAGCCACAAGAGTAGCTGTTTTGAGCTCTCTCTGATATTTACAAACACTCCAGTTTAAATCAGCTTGTGTTAATTTTGGATTGTAGATATGCAACACAATGACTACAGGTGCAACCGAATTACCAAAAGGATGCTTACCTGAGACATCACCTACAAGGGTGTGGAGCAGAGGTCAACACCAGGATAAATGGATGAAGTGAGATGAAACACCCCTGCTAGAAACCCTGGGGGCTCTCATGTAGGAACTTTCTCATCAAATTGCAGATAAAAAGTAGAGACTCAAAGGAAAAGATGAAATTCTAAGTGGGAGCACTTGGAAGGGCCAACCTGTCCTGTGCAGCAGAGTAGCTTTATGTACTTGACCTAACTGGATCATGCTTACACTAACAAGAAAAATCTCCTTTAGGTAAGACATGAGTTTTAGAGTTTTGTTATTTTGAATGTTTTTCCTAGCTCTTTTAATGTTCCTGTGGACAAATGAGAGCATTTCATTTTATACAAGGTATTTGCTGTTATTCCTGCTACTGGGTCAGAGCTCCTAGTCAAGGCCTGGCAGGAGGCAATGGTGGATCTGTGAGGAGAAGGGGACAAGTACAGCCTGCCCTCAGGATGGCTGCCTGCAGGGCAGGCCAAGAGACATCACTAACACAGCTTATTTCTGAACAGCTCTCTTTATAGGAGGAATCGTTTACCTCAATCCTTTTTTTTTAGATGTGTTTTGATTTAGAAGACCTATTTTTCAATGCTGCTCTCCAAGATATGGGCAGAAAGGGGAAATAATAGGGGGAGACTTTTTTAATGCTTTCATCTTAAAACAACATAACTGAAGACTTTCCTGACTCTGAGAATACCAGACTGCGCAACCGTACTACAGGTAGAGTGTCAGAAGCTCCATCTCATGAAATACTAGTGAATAAAGATTACAGGCTAATCCTATATTGCAGAGAACTGGATTATGTGGACTGATTAGGACTTTTCTATATCTATATTCTGTAGCTTGTCAGAGATCACAGAGAGGTTTCAATGATTTAGCAAGGATGGAAATTCAGGCAAAACTAGCTTCTAGTCCTGTGCCAAGGCCATTGACTGTGCTCCCTCGTACCACCCTGGCATTATTGAGAGCTGCATGCAGCCTGTGTGTTTGTGTGATCACTCCTCTTTGTTTTAACCTTACAGTGCCTGACAGTCCCACAAAGTTCAGACTGGATTTCCAGGTGTGACTGCTCATGGGAGAAACCATGACAAACAAGTGGGAGGTGCTGATCTTCCACCGTCCTTCGTGCCATGGGATGCTGAAAACACCAAAACCTATTTTTGCACCTTGAGAATAGTGTGATGCACATGCAGCTACTCTTTTCAGCAGAATAGCCTTCTCCTGCCTCCTCAGTTCTGCCCTTGGCTTTGGAAGCAGTTTTATCTGCTTTAGTTTTCTGAATTATTTTCTTTTTTAAGTCCTTATCTTCAGCCTTCTCACAGCTTGCTTTCTGCATTGCCTGTTACCCTGCTGCAGCCTGGCAGAGCCCTGCTGGTACAGCCATGCTGCCTGCATCAGGCACAAGTGTGGCAGAGATACTGGAGAGGGGGTCAGACATCTGAGAGGGCTAAGACTCGATCCAAACCAATATGTTGATTTTTAGTGAAATTCCAAATACAGGGAGAGAGATTTGTCAGACCTCGCCACACAGATGCACAACAAACCCGGCCATTGACTGAACCGATTAGCTCTCTAACAGAACAGATTTTTTCATCTGGCGCTAATCTGCTGCTCATTTATAATCTCTGCACAAATCTTTGTGAAGCCTGAAGGGATTTAGAGTCTTTGTGTATTATAATGGGCTACAGAAGAATTTCATGACGAATATCCGGGAATGCCATAAACAACTGAGAGTGACCCTCACAGAAATGCACTTTTGACTTCATTTGGGCTGCCTATACCTGATACAAAAAAATCCATGAGTGCTCCTGCAGTCTATTTTCAGATATCTGCTTTTTAAGAAAGCAGATCGTGATCTCATTACACATTATCTGTATTAAGCACTGCCAGCAAGGCTCTGCTGAGGTTAGAACCCAACCAAACAGCCAGCACGGCAATGACATCACCACCTTGAGCCCAGATTTTGCCTGCCTTGCTCAACTGGAGTGTGATGGTGTTTGTTTAATTGTATTAAAACCTGTGGGATTGATCCAGGAAAAAAAAAAAATCCATGCAAGAAAAACTGGCAAAGGTTAGCTCTCAGTATCGCTGTATTAAGTCTTACTTGAAAGGCAAAATGTATTCAGAAGGGCAGCATATCAAAAGGCAAAATGCACAAACTTGATTTAAAATTGAACTATTTGAAAAGTGGCATGTACTGTGATCGCAAAACTAGAACAGGTGGGTGCCTTGCAATGCTAAATATATTCGCTCTCGAGTTTTTACTGGGTGTATAGTCATCAGAGATCTTAACTGCACTATTGGAAAAGACAGAGAGAAAGTGGCTTAGGATGAAGAAAAACAACTAAAAAAATCTCCTCCTATTTGAGTTAGTGGCTGATTGGCCGTGTGCCC